CTATATCCGTTTGTGCAGTGTGGAACTACCCCTAAAGCAAGTAACAGGAGACGTCAAAATGTATGCTGATGTCACCCTTATGAAAACGCCTTTTTGTGAGAAATTATGAACATTGCCCATCGCTAAGTGCAGGGAGGTAATTAGGGTAATTGATTGCTGTTAAACTGCAAATTGGATTTGCAGAGGCTGGTAGCTGTCATTAAAAGACATTTATTCCCTCGTTCACTGAAGGCTGTAAAGCCACTTGCATATCCAAGTGTGCACTTGGCCACCCTGCGCTGTGGGCCACAGGGTTAGAACACTGTAGCGTAACGGAGGGAGATTTGTTTGCTGAGGCATGCTGGCATGTTAGTATTGCTCTTCTGTTCTTTTGATAGTCTCCAGACATATGCTGGAGAATGGGAATTGGGTACTTGAATTCATGATTTGAAACTGACTCTGGTTGACGTTCTTTCTGTATTGAAATTTCTTCTGTCAAAGACTCCGAAATTGGCTTCCTAAATCAGAAACAGAAACATACATACAAGCTGGGCTCATTTGTTAGTTAATTCTCAGGCTGCGGAAAAATCTTTACTTTGTTTTTTATGGAAACATGTTTTTAATTCACACAAAAAATCCCGTAAACCTGCCAAAGTAAATCTCTTCTTTGATGGAAGACAGGCTGCTCTTCCATCTGCCGCCGGCCAGCCTCAGCCTCCCGTCCCGAACCCAGCTCTTTACGCGCCCCAGAGAGAGTGACGGTGTGAGTGTCCCTGTGTCCGGGAGCTGGGTGGCCAGGCCCTCCTCTGCCCCATTGCCTCTGCTTGTACCTTCTGCTGGTCCAACTCAGACAAACGAGAACCAGACCTCACCCCAGGACCTTCCCTGATCCTCGCCCCATTGGCAGACAGCGTCCTTCAGCCCATGTCCCCTTCATGCTGGCTTCTCCACCCTGATGATGCTGTCACTCATTTCATTTCACGTCCATCTCCTCTACTGAATTGTAACCTCATGGAGGACTGTGGCTTGTCTTAAATTAAAAATAAGGGTGTTTATTACAAAAATCATATAGGGTTCATGTACACAATTTGGAAAGTATAAAGAAAAATCGTTGAAAATCCTGTAGCCCCCATCTCCTGGCGATGGCCCCTGTTTCATATCTTCTGGCCGTTTCTGCACGAAACACAGTTACATCTCTAAAAAGCGTAAAAACATCGGGTGGACGCGGTGCTGTAAAAATTGCTTTTCCCCGTCATGAATGTCTTTCCACAGCTAAATACGTACTCTGCAATGGGATTTTGGGTAGTGGGGTGGGCATCCTGTGGTTGTAATAGGTATGGTAAGCCATCCCCTGTGACAGCACGTTGTCATCGTTTCTCCTAATGAAGAACTCCCCAGTCCCTGGCCCTGGCTCGCACCGTCTTGGGGAACCTTCATGGAAAGAAAGTTGCCCAGTCTCAGGACGTGACCAGTCCAAAGGCCTCCAGGAATCTCCAGAAAGACTGGACGCTTCACTGCCCACCACCTGGTCTGAAGACACGAAGATAAGAACTGTCAAATGCCCAAAGATGGGAATTCTTGATTCTTCGTGAGTCACTTTTTTCAGTGCTCAAATTCCTCACTGTCAGGAAATGTGAAACCAAAATTCACGTGGACAAAATTTGACAAAACATGGGCAAATTTACACCTATTTTCTTAATTGGTGATTTCTTGCTGAGAGAATCTGCTCTGGCTGAGGCCGCAGGCCTCTCTCCTACCCACCGACAGCTTCCGCAGCTCTGCAGTGTCATCTGTGGGACTTTCACCTTGACCAAGTCATTGATACCTGATATGGTTTGTGTCCCCACCGAAATTTCATCTTGAATTGCAGCTCCCATAGTCCCCACATGTCATGAGAGAGCTCCAGTGGGCGGTGATTGAATCATGGGGGTGGGTCTTTCCCATGCTGTTTTCGCGGTAGTGAAGTCTCATGAGAGCTGGTGGTTTTATAAAGGGCAGTTCTCCTGCACACGCCGTCTTGCCTGCCGCCGTGGAAGACATGGCTTTGCTCCTTATTCACCTTCTGCCACGATTATGAGGCCTCCCAGCCATGTGAAACTGTGGGTCCATTAAACCTCTTTCCTTTATAAATTACCCAGTCTCGGGTATGCCTTTATTAGCAGCATGAGAACAGATGAATACAATACCCCCAATGCCCTCTCAACATGGTCCGTATGCCTCTGTGAACCCGTGCACACCTGGGCACAAGGCACCAGGTCATGAAGGCTTTAGAAGAACCCAGCTGGAGAGGACTGCAAACACCTCCTGTCCAGCTCACAGTTGCAGGTCGGGATCCTCTTCCTGAGCCTCCAGGCCTTTTGGATTCAGGATGGAAGGAGAACCTGGAACTTTCCATCCTGTCCAGTCCTCTCTTCCTTACACTGTGCGTGCTGCTGGGGTGTCACCGTGAGATGCCGTGTGTCTGGGCTGCCTTGGGGGTGCTACAGCTGTGATCCACCTGCACCCTCACCCACAAGAGCCTGCGGGGCTGGGTGGTGTTTGGATCTCTGCACCTCTCTGCCATGGAACTGTGTGGTGTTGGGGTGTCTGTGCCTCTCTGCTGCAGGACTGTGTGGTGTTGGGGTGTCTGCACCTCTCTGCTGTGGGACTGTGAGGTGTTGGGGTGTCTGCACCTCTCTGCCGTGCAACTGTGTGGTGTTGGGGTGTCTGCGTCTCTCTGCCGCAGGACTGTGTGGTGTTGGGGTGTCTGCGCCTTGCTGCTTCAGGGCTGGGTGGTGTTTGGGTGTCTGAGCCTTGCTGCTTCAGGGCTGGGTGGTGTTGGGGTATCTGCACCTTGCTGCTTCAGGGCTGGATGGTGTTTGGGTGTCTGAGCCTTGCTGCTTCAGGGCTGGGTGGTGTTTGGGACCCCTTTTGCCACACGAGGTCCATGGTGAGCAGAGCTCCTGCTCCTCAGACTGGAAGTGCAGGATGCATGAGTGACAGAAACGAGCACAGCTTTCCCTCTCCCCGGCTCCTGTCCTGGCTGCAGTGTGGAAGATGGTGGATCTGCCGGGCCTTCGCGCCGTTTAGGAATGAACGCGGGGGAGTTCGGCCTTCGGGCCTTCGCGCCGTCTAGGAATGAATGCGCAGCATTTACCAGCCACCACGTGGTCCCTGCTGTTAGCGCTATCAGCTGGCTCCCAGCCAATACGGACACTGGAAAGATAGAAGGTTCCTTTTATGATGACATAAAGAATTTACCTCAGTATCTAAATATTTTACAGTGGGAGAACAAATACCCCATCTGAAGACTTTAAATATGGAAATTTTTTATTTTCTTTCTCTGTAAACAGCATTTGGGGAGATTCTCTTCTCCAGCATGAAGAACATTCTGCCTTAGTTCCTTCCTTGACTACAGACTGCGGGAAATGATATAGTTGCTATGGAATACTTTGGCGTTGTCTACCCTCAGCGATTGCATGCTGTGTTCTTTTGCCTTTGTAAATGTGAATTTTTCCTATGGAGTCAACTTTATCCAGAGCCTCTGGGGAGCTGTTCAAAGCTAATGAACCACGCGGAAAAGAACCCATGTCCTGAGCTGCACGGAGCAGCTCCCGCAGCACAAACCATTGTGTTCAGGTTCCGTGACTCTTTGTTCATTGCAGAGCTGGGTTTCCAGTGTCACAGATGGTGATGGAAGAAGAATATTGGCCCACATTCTCGTCTTCATGGTTTACCCTCCCCTCAGAGAGACATTAAACACACACACACACAGCAGGCAGCCTGTGGGGCGGTTGTGGGTGACACAAAATGCACGTGTGTTCAGTTCTGGACCAGTCAGATACACAGCACAGAGGATGCTCAGCCCCAGGCCAGGCAGGTATAAAATACGCTCTGAACATGGAGGACATGTATATGCACTGGTGCCTGACTGTGTACCAGGCAGGTGTGTTACATGTGTGCATGCTCAGCTCTGAACCACGTGGACATATTGTATGTACGTTCTCAGCTCTGTACAAGGCAGATATATAGCATGTGCGTTGGCCCAGTTCTGTGCCAGGCAGCTACATAACATGCACAGTTGCTCAGTTTGCTACCATGCAGATATATAACATGCATGTTGTTGAGTTCTGCGCCACTCATATATATAACATGCACAGTTGCTCAGGTCTGCACCAGTCAGACATATCACATGCATGGGTGCTCAGCTCTGTGCCTCACAGATATATAGCATGCA